AGCGAAATAAAGTGAATCAGTGTTAATTATTAGTGTTTTAAGTTTTAATTGGTGTAAAGTGAATTAAAGTGTAAGTTTTAGTAATTCAATCGGCAGTTTTTACTGTCACGAACTTAACTACTTACGCTACGCTAGGGTGGTAACAGCTGGAGAACAGAGATATAAATAATCAATTCAAAGCTAATCTCTTCTTTCGAGTAAAATTATTATTTTATTTTCAAAATAATTTCAGAGTGTCTTCTAAGTTTAAAAGAAAAATATCTAGTGAAAATAGATTGTTTCAAGATGAGTGGGAAACGGATTATTTTGTTGTGCCAAACAAAAACAATGCAGCTACTTGTTTGGTATATCGTGAAAATATTATACTGAAGAAATACAATATTTTGCTTCATTTTACCACAAAACATAAATCTTTCAACAAAACGTTTCCTCCAGGATCTTCCTTGAGAAATGAGAATTGAGTTTTTTTAAGAGATCATTGCATCAACAACGAAATGTTATGTCCGTCAAAGATTTTAAATCTTTGATGTCTGTCAAATATCAAGCCTCAGCGGTAACTAAGGCTCCATATGAAATTTGATACATTGGTATCAATTGGTTTCATATGAAACCATTTACCGATGCAATAATTGTAAAGGAATTGCTTTGTTAAATACAGTTTTTTTTTTGATAAATTCAGTAACAAATAGCAAATACTACACATCTTTAAAGAAAACTACAGCTCTCGGATTTAACCTGTATGAGGCGTATTGAAGACATTTCTGAACTTATTTGCGATTATATATTAGTGCAATTTTTTTACCTTGGCATTCGATTCCAGCACTGACATTTCAGCAACATCGCAATATTTTTAAATTATTAATTTTTGGCTTTTCACCATGCCACATCTTATATGATGTTTTATTAATAAGCGCTTTTATGGGTAATATATTAATTAAATATATAGATGTTAAAACACCTCTACCTCAAAATATCTTGTCTAAATTCGCGCTTAAAACTTTCTTTCCATTTCGGTTAACGTACGATTCATGCGCTCTAATACAACATTTTGCTGTTGTTTGTATGGTACCGTCAGATGATACATTATTCCCTCACAAACTTCTTTAAAAATCGTTAGATATTCTCGACCATTATCACAATATAAATTTACAACTTTTAAATTAAACACATTCTCAGCCTTTGCAACATAATCCTTAAAATATTTGTTCTTGCACATAAGGTATGTTACCGTATAATGTGTAGTCGTCTATAAAAGTAACGAAATAATTGTTATCATCGATAGTTGCAGGCGTTATCGGCCCACAAACATCGGAATGAATAATAAAAAGTGGTCTATTTTTAATAGATTTTTCTTTTGATTTTGCGAAAGGTAATTTACATTGCTTGCCTAATATGCAAGGCTCACATATAACATCATTCGGAATAATATTGGCTTAAACGTCAATGTCATAAATCATAAGATGATTCTTTATTAATATTTAAATGACACTGATTGATAAAACACATGAATTGATAAAAAAAATTATTTTAAAAAGATTATTGCTGTTCACACATGACATTATATATTTATCGTTTTTATATATTTTAACTGTACTATTACCAATAATAACAATCATACCCGCTTGTTGGATGCAATAAACGGATAATAAATTATATAGAACCTCAGGTGAAAACAATACCTTGTCAATTGATCCATGTAATCCTAAGTTGGTAGAGACATCGGTTCGCCCTTTTCCGATTGCTAAAATACTAGTGCTATTTTTGGCCACACTGATTTTTATCGGACGGATAGTTATGCATATGAAGTTAAATAATTCAGTGTATTTACAATATGGTCTGTTGCACCTGAATCTAAAACAAAACAAATAACATTTGATGAATTTTGATTACAATTAATAAACTTACAATTTGAAAGCATAAAAGCGAAACTGTCCTCATTATTTTTGTTGGATTCCATTATACTGGCGGTAGATGAATATTTGGTATTAATTCCATTTTGTTGCATTTTCTTAAAGAAACGACAATCCTTTTTCATGTGATTTCTACGTCCACAATGCTCACAATATATTTTACTTATTTTATAAGTCGCATTACTAGGTTGGTGTGTTTTCTTCAATCGAGAATAAAACTTTTTTTTATCAAATTGTGTGGGTATTCTGGGCGTCGAATAATTGCTACATGTAGTCTGTAAAATCTTGAGGTCTGTTGTTATTTCAGCCTTTAATTTAACTTCATGGTCTAAGAGACGTGTTTTCACAAATGCTAGATTAAGGTGTTCTTCTCCTAGAGTTTCTAAAGCCGTGATGACCCCATCATATGAAGTAGGTGGTGTTAATAATAAATGCGATATTTTATCCATTTCATCTAATTTGGCACCAGCCGAGATTAATTCCGATACTATGTTGTCGAAATTGGTAAAATGTTTCAATAAGGTTGTATCAGGTTGCAGCTTTAGAATAAGTAATTGCTTACAAAGTGCTAATTGTGTCACTAAACTTCTTCTTTTGTATATTTTATCAAGTTCATACGGATTTTACAGTCAAAGATTTTCTTGCAAAATTAAAAAATGATTCACTTAAATATTCAACAATTTTAACTTCTGCGATTAAATTTTTCTTACTCCACACTTGATTTGGGATAGTTGGTACTTCCTCATCAATTTCGCTTAACACCTTGTAATTCTTCTAAAAGTGATCTTATGCGAAATTTCCACGTAATATATCGATCACCGTTAAACTGATTGATGTTTCTTTTATTACATAAATCCATGTTTAATATACTTTTAAAAATCTTCACTAAAACTAAACTTTAAATATTACTTTAGGCAAAGTGACCTGGGCCCATAACCTGTTGGAATATTGTTATGGGGTAAAAGAAAGTCTGTGTGTACTGTACGAAATTCTGTATTAGAATGCTAACACAAAGTTTATCGTTTAACAAAGAAATCATTAATAGACTTGTTTTTACTACATCCGTTATTAAAGAAAGTATGTTGACTAGTATCTTTGTATATACCAACATAATTCTACTGCGTTTCGTATGGTGAGTGTAGAGAACCGGAGACTCTTTTTACTGGAAACGAGGCTTTCTATCTTAGTCCTCACGGGCAATGCATCTGCGTTTTGATTCGTAACCGAGAATAGATGTATATGTCTATGGGCCACAGTAATCACTTTTTTATTAGGTGCGAGCAGCTATGCAGGAAAGACAGTATCACTGCGACCTAAAAGATCTATTGCGATCGCTACTATGGCTATAGTTCACTGCTAAGCCCTATACACACACATATATATATATATATATATATATATATATATATATATATATATATATATATATATATATATATTGTGTCTCCAGCTTTGAGCAGTTTCACTTCTTTTGGGTGGAGTACATAGTTTCTCAGATGAGTGTTACGTTTGCGTATTAAGGGCCGCAATCAGAATGTGCAGAGGTGTTTCTTCCATTATGGGACAGAACCGCCACGCATTCATCGTCTGAGTGTTTCAGTTCTGTCTGTTTCCCACTGAACCTGAGAGAACAGAATAACAGGCGGCAACAACGTGAAGGTAGAACTCCTCAGACTTGTCCTGGGGATCACCGCGACCTGCGCTCTCCCCCAAAGCCATTCGCCAAACTGCTCGCCGGACAGGAGAGCAAAATAGGTGTTAATCTAGTCCTACTGATAATCTCAAAATATTAGAATTAGGAGTAGATTAACCCCAGCCCCAGCAACCACTTACCATCAGGTGGACAGTGTGCTTGTTTGTCACCTTATCCTATAAAAAAGACAAACGAGTCCTACCACCTAGTAAATATAACAATGAGAGCTCTTCTTAGCTAATATGTTTCACATGATTAGACGTTAACATAATACACAAAATCACACCGCTTGTTCACATGTCAAAGTCCACTCCAAATCATTATATAAATTATAAGATAATAGCAGCAATCCGCTATAGCTATAACTTTTTCTAACCTAATAAATAATAATAATAGTAATCTACTATTATTGTTGAAATTAACACATAGTTTCAACAATGATATTAGAATGGAATTTGGAATAGATAAATGTGCTGTCATCAACGTAAATAGGGGCAAAATTAAAGATTGTAATAATTTTGCAATTACAAATGACTTACACTTCAGTTCTCTTTCTGAAACAGAAACTTATAAATACTTGGGCATGGCAAAAGCACTAGTAATTAATGACAAAAATATTAAAGAAAATTCAAAAGTAAAATTTATGTCAAGATTAAAAAAAGTTATCAAAAGTCATTTATCCGGCGGAAACAAAATTAAGCATATAACTCCTGGGTAATACCTAGCCTTCTATATACTTTTGGTGTTACAAGGTGGTCTCAAACAGAATTGGATGACTTAGATAGACGAGTCCGTACATTAATGACTACGAACAGAATGCACCACCCACGATCATCTGTCATGAGGTTGTATCTTCGAAGAAAAGATGGTGGACGGGGCTTATTAAACATTAAAAAATACACAACCGTGAAGTATACAACCTCAGAGACTATTTTATTAAAAAAAGACACATCACACATTCATAATGATGTAGTGATTAATGACAAATCATTAACCCCGCTTAATATGTCGGCAAATGACTGGCAGAGGCCTCATACTATGACTATAGATGAACGAAAAAGGTGTGAGCGCCGTGCCTAGGCAAAATTGTGGGTGCAAAGGTCCGTTTGTGCATATGACCCAACCACGAAACGGTGCCGGGCGTCTCCCGTTATTTGGCGCCCATAAAATAGATGATGGTACAGAAAGGAACGCACATAGGGCCGCTGCCTGGGGGTCGCCGGGGCGCGTCTGGAGCTAGTGCTGGATGCGGCAGCATGCGGGCCGCCAGCTGAGCGCGAGGAGCTGCACGATCACCTAGCAGCCCCCCGCGTCAATCATCCCTACCAGAAGGCTTGGTGTTGGCTGGGTCCTCTCGGACTCAGCAAGTAGCACCCGCCGCTGGTGGAGCACGTCGCATGTGTTGGACAAAAGCTATGAAAGAAAACGCATTACGGGCGTACTATAGGGTGAAAGGGGAAGAAACTGTAGGAATAGCGTATAGGGCTCGGACGAATTGCTTTTTTGCTGAGCTGGAGCCTTCTATTCCCGTCACGGAACAAAACCTGGCAGACCGAGCTCGGTACATCATGCGCTCGAAAATATTTGATGATGCCGAACTCGAACGACTACGACGTGAGGCTATTCCATCATCGAATGAATCGGCTATGGCTGGGGATGCAGCTCCACATGCGACAGACCAGCATCCACACGTGGAAAACGCCATGGATCTTCCAGTTGTGGTTGATTCGAACGACAACAAAATAGTCTCCCACGAACTAGAGCAAATGAGGAGCATATTGGATGAGGCGATTTTGGAAACGCGCAGCACCCCTCTCGAAAATTGACCGCGACTTCCCCGCATACCCCCAAGCAAGCGAAATCGGGCTGTCGTGAGGGCTCTTAACCCAATGCTGTTGACCTATTTGGAAGACAGCAGGGAACTTTGCGAGACGGACTCAATTCCATTTGGCACCGCAGTGGCAGTTTGCCGTACTAATGGCGCCAAAATTCCCATGGCTGGACGCGCTACTACACAAAGTAGCGCCATCGCAACCTGGAGAAAAAGAATCGAGGACCGTATCGTAAAGGCAAGGCCCTTATCGGTAGACTGACAAGCTTCAGGTCAGGTAATAAAAGACCGAGGTTTGTGCGCACCGTTAGGATGGCGTTTGCTGGGACAAATATCAGTTTGTCCCAACCGGATATCACGCAGAAATTAACGGAGCGCATAGACGACCTGAAACAAAAGATCGCTTCTTGGGGGAAGCGGATTCGACGATTTATCAAGAGGTTAAGGCGGTTCAACCAGAATCATCCTTCCAGAGTGATCAGAAGAGGCTCTATAAATCATTGGAGCGACCAAAGGTATGTGGAGCGGGCCAAGGACCGGATCAGGCTGACATTATCGCATTCTGGCGTGGCCTGTGGTCAGAATCCGTAAACCACAGCGAGGGCCCTTGGATGGAAGTTGTGTCGAGCCAGGGTGCGAGTGTTGCGCCTAAGTGGGGTACTTATTATTTATCACCATAACGCTGGAAAACGTGGCTGAGGCGGTCCGTAGGGCCCCGAACTGGAAAAGTCCGGGGCTCGACGGGCTGCATCATTACTGGCTAAAGGGGTTCATAGTGTGTCACGCTGTGCTCGCCCGACAGTTTCAAGAGCCTCTCGACCAGAAGTCGCTCCCTAGCCTCTTCACTACTGGGACCACTCACTTAGTTCCTAAAGATCAGGATACCACAGACCCGAGCAAACACCGCCCCATGACGTGTCTACCCACCATATATAAAACACTGACATCAATTTTGAGCGCAAAAATCACTCGTCACCTGGAGCTAAACCAGGTGATGTCACGCGCTCAAAATGGATGTCGGGGTGGTGGTCGCGGAACCAAGGAACCACTCCTTAACGCGGTCATAGGCAAAGTGGTGAAACGCAAACGTCGGAAATTCTCTGCCGCCTGGATAAACTACAGAAAGGCGTTCGACTCGGTGCCCCATACATGACTAAAGAGGGTCCTCGAGCTGTACAAGATTGACTGTACAGTTAGAGACTTCCTCGAGCAGTGTATGGGGCAGTGGAGTACGATCCTTTTTCATCTGGGCGAGTGGATGATGGTTGCGGAGAACCACATAAGGATAAGAAAAGGTATCTTCCAGGGCGATTGTCTGAGTCCAATCTGGTTCTGCCTCTCTCTGAACCCTCTCAGTACCTTACTGCAGAGCTCCGGGAGGGGATTTCAGCTACGGAAAGAAGGGACAAAAGTGACCCACCTTTTCTATATGGATGACCTCAAGTTATTCGCCTCCAGTCGCTCCCATCTTATGGAATTGCTAAACATCACTTGTGAATTCAGCAATTCCATTGGAATGGAGCTGGGGACGGATAATTGTGCGGTCCTCCACGTTGAAAGGGGAAGGGTTGCTAACTCTGAGGGTAGACTTATCTATGCCCGCCAACTTAAGGACCCTTTCAAAGGCTGAAACATACCGATACCTGGGTATGTCACAGAACATCGGTATCGATGAGGCTGGTATGAAACAGTCAGTTTGCGACGTGTTTTATGCACGCTTGACCAAAGTGCTTAACAGCCTTTTGTCCGGTATGAATAAGACACACGCATATAACGGCTGGGTCATGCCTGTCCTCATGTATACCTTTGGCATACTCAGGTGGACTTAGACCGAACTTAACGCCCTAGATAGAAAAGTCCGCACTACAATGACGTCCCATAGGATGCATCATCCGAGATCGTCGGCAATGAGGCTGTACTTGCCGCGAAAGCATGGTGGACGTGGTTTTCTGAGCGGGCTCAACATGCATAATCGCGAAGTGTGCAGCCTCTGTCATTACTTCTTGGCAAGATCGGATGATCCATTCTATAAGGACGTCATTTTTTGTGATAAAGGACTTAACCTTCTATCCTTAGCCAACGAGCAATGCCAAGATCCGGCAGTGCAGAGCATTTCCGACCGGGAGGCCGTATGGAAGGAGAAGGAGCTTTACGGGAGGTTCTAGAAGGCTCTACATGAGCCTTTCGTAGACACAGTAGCCTGCCTCTACTGGCTACGCTTTGGTGACCTCTTCGGAGAAACCGAGGGTTTTGTCTGTGCAATACAGGATCAGGTTATTAAGACCAACAACTATCGGAGATACATCCTAAAGGATGGCACCGTCGACATCTGTCAAGCTTGTCGCCATCCCGGCGAATCACTTAGGCATGTCATCTCCGGTTCTTCGGCGCTTTCTAACTCTGAGTACTTACACAGGCACAACCTAGTAGCCAGAATTCTTCAACAGGAGCTCGCTCTGAAATACGGTCTCGTGGACCGGAAATTGCCGTATTACAAGTACTTGCCGGAAGCCGTGCTCGAAAATGATCGAGCCAGGTTCTACTGGGACTGGGCCGTCATCACAGACAGGACTATTCTTGCGAATAAGCCTGATATAGTGCTGATGGACCGGGCATAGTCAAGGATATTTTTGGTCGACATTACCATTCCGTATGACGAGAACCTTGTGAAAGCCGAAACAGATAAACGAACAAAATATCTGGACCTGGCTCACGAGTTGACCGACATGTGGGGTGGTCTGCCGACTGAAATTATTCCTGTAGTCGTTTCTGCAAACGGGCTAATCCCAGTCAGCCTCTCGGGTCATCTGAGGAGACTGGGACTCCGTGACGGACCGCTCCAGGCTCAAATGCAGAAGGCGGTGCTCCTCGATACCACCCGCATCGTCCGCCGGTTTCTCTCCCTTTCCCCCTAACCCTCGGCCGTTTGATCTCCCCTGCCGAGGGCTTTCATCTGGTTGGATCTTATTTTTTATGTATTTTTTTGTATTTATTTTATTTTATTTATATTTATGTATATTTATCATTTCATTTTAAAACCCAACCAGATGAGAAAATTATATAGATACCCCAATAATAATAAATTTATTTATTTACCAGAAAACACTTAGCCAAAATACAATAAGTTCTGTGACTCCCACACTAGGCATGGCCTGTCTCGTGGGGGTCAAACAAAAGATTTTACAATAGATCAAAGTGGCTATTTGTCGAAATTACGTAAAACAATTATGCGCAGCAAAGCAAAAATGACTTAAAAATTTATGACAAATTACCGACATAACAAACAGATTGTAATAAAAGGGGCGCGCGTGTACTTGTGGTTGAGTGTGTATGAATGTGTGTGTGCATGTGTGTAAGCGTGTGCTAGCATACCTGTTACATAATTCTCTAAAAATTATAAGTAAAAGGGTGAGAGATTGCAATTGGGGATAAGTTTGAGTGGTTAGGTAGCCCTACGATTAAATTCTTGGGATCGGACGACAGGGCATGCGTCAGTGCTGTCCACTACCGTTTTAACACCTATTTAAGGGTCACAAATATTTCTTCTGATTCCTCATATTGCCAAGTCAATAAATCACATCTCATTTTTATTTTAGCCTCATAAAGTTGGGATCGTTTTAAGTCGTATAAGTTGACTAATTTGTTGTAGATGCGAGGGAATAGGAACAGTCTGAAATGATGAGCGAAAGATGTTTTAACTAAGGTTGTGGGGATCTTAAACACTCTTTTATTTATTAAAATATTAAACGTTGGCAGTTTCGAAGCTTCCCTGTGCATAAATGTAAAGGCCCTCAGAAGATACAATCTACGGACACTTAAATCTTGAGCTTCTCCAAAGAGATCTGACGTATGATAGCGCCTTGGTTTACCCAACCTTCAAAACTGCCCTCTGGGCCCTTTCCAGTACTATCAACGTAGAGGAGGATATGCCACCCTACGCCAGTATACAATAGCTAAGTATGGACTGACGTAGCGCAAGGTAGACGGACTTTCAAACGCTGTCATCAGTAGAATCTCTCAATAGTCTCATTGTGTGTATCAGCTTACGGACCCTAGCTGATGTCGCCGATATATGACTTTTAAAGTTAAGATTTTCATCTATTATAATGCCCAAATATTTAAGGGAGCCGACCCTATTTATCTGGTCGCTACTAGGAAGTTATCAAAGTTTTTACGCATGCTTCTTATGTTCACGCTTAAAATCCTGAATAAAAATCTAGACACACACACACAGAACGTCTTTACAATCCTCTGGGACCGTTATGTTGTGCCACTTTATCTAAGATGAATTATCTATAGCATCTAACAATTCTAGGGAAGCCATGGGAAGATCGTGAAAAATTGATTGGAGTATTTTGGAATTAAAGGGGAGAGTGCCATATAAACATAAGAAATTTGAATTACTCAGAATACATTAAGTACACCCTCAGTAATTTTTTCAGCAGATTTAATCAGGACCCCACGTAAATAAATTTATGTGTATCTCACAATAATTTTCACATCAGTGTTATCTGGTCACAATTTTTTCTTAATATTGTACTTACGCAAAGAAATTACTGAGCGAGAAGCTTTAATCGCAATAATATGTCATTTTTATGATTTTCTCAATTTAAATGGTACATTATTTAAATACATATATTATATGTATTTAGTTACAATATTACGTCATAATATATTTTGTTACATATAATGTGTAATCATTTTAGTTATTTTTTAAGATAATGAAATCAGGCGTTACTTTGCGGAATTCCATTATATTAAAGTTGTTAAAAATTAATTTGCTTGTATCCGTGTCATGAAATAACATCATTCGTCTTACCTAGTTTGAAGAGCACCTCTCGCCCTCTCTTAATTGCTTGCATTATCCCCGTCACCACCAATTCCAGCACCACTACCTACACTAAGAAAGACTCCGTTAATAACAACCGTTAATACTCGTAATACAACATGTATTTCGCCTTTACACGAGGCATCATCAGGTGAAGTCAGCCACCG